GAACGTTTCAACGTCCGGTCATTTCGCTTGCATTCTGCTGACGTGTTTGCCGACCCAAATTTCTGTCGTGCACAACTTCTCATTCTGACAGAAACACGGTCGTCTCCGGCTTTACCTTTGAGCATTCTAGAAGAAGCAGATTTCAAGGTTATTCGCGCTGATGCTAATTGCTCAGTGCGAGACGGTTTTGACAACGTTCTGGTGTTCGTCAAAAACGACGTCTTCTGTTCGTGCGTAAGCTTGCTGTCAGCCGTGAGCAAACTGAGAACTCAGATTCTATCCTTGCACGTCCGCGGCCAGCAGGGGCTAGATTTCTATGCTATTGCTTTGTATCGATCACCGTCTGAAACAGATGTAGCGGATTTCTTGTGCCACTTACATCAGTCGATTCTAGAGGTTAGACAACGATCATTGCAGTCAGATCCTCGGCTCCTGATTGCCGGCGACTTCAATATCAATCTGCTAGAAAGCAATAGTGCATCCGATCAACTAGTACGTCTAATGCGCACTTGCGATTGTCATTTGGTCAATTCGATTGCTACCACAAATCAGGGATCCTTGCTTGATCATGTATGGCTTTCGCGCAGTCTTATGTCTGCAGGAACAGCACGAAATTTAGAGGCGTACTGGAGCGACCACTCTCCGTTACACGTTCAGCTCCGCCTTCCTTTCAATGGTTGCTGCTACAGTTGACTCCACAAGAAGCTAGTCCAGCAAAACCGACGGGTAAGTTTCTGCAATAATGTTGTGTTTCACTAGCAAACCGATTCTGTTGAGCAGGCTGTTCCTCATCAGCACTTGTCGCCAGCCTAGTTGTGCGCGAACGTCAGAATGCGCTGTCGAGCTGTCAGGCGAAGTTAATGACGCACGTGCATGCGCCTCGTTCCGAAAATGAGCAATCCGATGCGCGCGCCAGCGATCGCGTCGTACTTTCGAATCATGTTGTACGGAAGATTATGAATTTATCGTCAGCCAATCTTCTGGGTCTTACGACTTCCTCGAAAATTGACACCTTCTCGTATGACTTCACCTCGTATGTTACGCACTCAGAAATTCACACAGAACGCCGACGCCATCTGTGTCTTTCGACTTCTTCGCTTTCTTCTACTTCGTGCATGAGCAAACCTCTTCTGCACCGGTTAGCAAACTTCTGCGCAGCTTACGGACACCAGCAAGACCAACTTCTTACAATCCCTCTCAAACGCAACCTACTTTCGGAGAACAAGCTCTCTTCTTACGCTCTCGCAAACAGAAACATTCTCAAACCTCAGCAGACATCGCTTTCATCTAGACCAACTTCGCCGCGCTTCGAAAAATCTCTGCACGCAATGGAGGCCGCCGGGACCAAGTTCGTGCGCGAAGTGCCGACGGAGCAAACAGGAACTCCGAGCATTCATCGCCGATGCGCGCGCAAAGGTGCGAGCTTTCCAAGCGACACGCAATGCCAACGAACCGCAGGAAGTCGCTGACGGTGAGCTGAATTGCATGGTCGAACCTCTGTGGTGCTGCAGCTCTATCATCGCATATGAATGAAGCACAGCACTTTTAAGCCCTTAACCGTGAAAACTACGGGCTGATTAAAAAACGGCTAGTTGTCCAACAATCAAAGTTAGGCAGCAAAGAGCCCTGACGAAGGCTAGATACCGGTTCTTTGTCCAATCACATGACAAACACGTCTGCTAACCAGCCTGGCTAAGGATTCCTTACAGAGAAGCTTGCTTAAGAAGGAAGGAAAGCAGAGATTGAATTTCCCATTTCTATAAAGAAAGAACCGGTAGAAGCAGCTCGTCTCATACCCGTCAGAGCAAGTGGAGAAGTCAGACAAAAGAGTAGCAAGAATTGACCCAGTTGATTCTACTCACACCTTGCAGGTCTTCTCCGCGAAATTTCACGCACGTGGAATCCTCCAGGGTACGATTACGACATGCTGTACGATCAACATTACCTAATCCGCTACGTGAAGGACAAGGCTGCGACGTTTCATTCAAGGTACTCAGGCAACTGTACGACCTGTTCGGCATCGAGGGTGCGCAACTGCAGCAATTAGGACAGCTGGAGGTAAGAGTCCCTACCGAGGGTCACCCTAAGATATGCAGAAGGCCTATTTCCTCATTGCTGAAATTCCTAGCAAAGAACTCAGAAGACTGCATTCACAGCATCCTTCGCTGAGACAGTTTTCGTTAGACATAAGCGCCTTCCGTGCTTGCCGATTGCGACGCCCACGGTATTGCGGAATCCTGGAGAGCTTCTAATGATTTCTCATGCCGTATGCTCTGTAGGCAGAGGACCTGCTCAGCACAATTTGTGTGCTATGCCCGGCAATTCATCGAACGCGATTCTAGCACGACGACAAGCTCAACATCTTGCACGAAGCCGTCAAACCAGGGACGCATTCAAGCAGCCTTGCAATGTCAAACCACGACGGTAGTTGCAATCGTAGAATATGCGAAGTAGATAACCAGACAAGTGCACTCAGATTCAAGACGCTGACCCGTTTTGAAATACGAACATTGAGCTCTGGGCAGAGAGCAATGGTATTTGTGAATGTGAAGTCCTGGCGAGCATAAAAGAACCAGTAGTAGACTGCGAGCGAGTAGATCCAACATGTCATAACATCCAGTGGGCAGCTAAGTAGCAGACTTCTGTGTGCTGTAAGAAACGATGCCTTACCAAACCGTCAAGTGTGCAAGGTTTTAATTTTGGAAATGATACCGCAAGGAAACGAACAATTTGAATTAGAAAGAGCTACTTACAATTGCTATCAGATGGCTATGTAAAGCTACGGTGTGACGAAAGAACACCTTATAAACGCTCACACGACAAACACAATAGACCTAGCAACTCCTAGAATGAAAAGTACATATTACGGCGGGCAAGTGGTGCCTGAGAGATTCCAAGACTTCCCTAGGAAACATTCCCATTCCGCTCACTGATGAGTGCTAGCTCACAAATTATATGCTCAGTTACCGGACCTGACAGCTTGACGGATCACACGCATTCCACCGATTTCAATTGTCAGAAGAGGCAAGCCGTGGCCGTCGTCAGACGGCTTTACCATGTTAAAACGGAGTTGCCAGGGTAGCACCCGGGAGACGGGTAGGTTTAGTCTGGTGGTTAGGGTGGGTAGAGGTACTGAGCGCCAGCATGAACGTTTGCAGGTTAGGGGTTCTAAATTGATGTGCCCGGCGCTTCTGGATGTTCACAGAAGTTCGAACACTTCCGTTGCCAGGTACCTGGGTACCTACTTACCGATAGTAGACTCCAGTGTACAGTACATACGGGGCCGCCGGCGTACCTTGTGAATCTACCGGTACGTACCTGCCAGGTACTATTTTCTCCGGTGGCCTTTTTACTGGTTTAGGGTTTCTCAGGCCTGCTACAGGCAGATACCTAGGTAGGGTTTGGAGTTTTTTTCGCGGGAATCACTTTAAAATTTGACCTTGAACTTGAAGTTCGAGCCTTTTGAAAAGGCGCAAAAATCTGCTCACAATGATGTCAAATGAGTAGGTACCTAGCTAGTCTTCCACCCCCAATGCTTCGCTGTATGCATGCCTCATTTACATATTAAGGCTGACTTCGTCCTTTTGACTTGCATTCGGTAGAGTTTTTGAAGCACGTCACTTTGCTCGGGTCCTTTGCTCGGTGACAGTTGCCTACCTAATAGGTAGTACCTAATACAAGTTACAACAACTCTCTCCGAGCTCCGTTTTCTTGAGACAGTCCCTTCGAATTGGGGCAGCACTAGTGAGCTACACGGCCATTAAGGGTCCAACTTGTGTTTCATGGAAATCTTCCAGGAAGGAGTCTGCCGCTGTGCAGTGGGTAGTATCAGGCCAGACTTTGCATCTTTGAGATGACGGATTGGTATTCGATCAGAGCGCACAAGGTCCGGTGGTGATGGATGCAGCAAAGGCGATTGATGCACAATCTGGGGGGTTTGCGGGGCCTGATCATAAACAAATAGCACCTGACTCAAAAGAAGCAAGCACTGGAGAGATAGGCAAGAAGAGTCTCGTGGAAAGCTCCGCATGGAAGAGACATGATGACCAGGGCCCAGAGCAGCGGAGAGCGGCCGCTAACTCAGTTGTAGTAAGGCCGCCACTCGCGGTTGCTTCAATCTTCCTGAGCAAGGAGCAGCGCCGGAGGCGAAAGGAGGAATCGCAGGTGGTGGCAGATGTTGATGGGCAACCTGAGTTTGATAAAGGAGAAGGAGCGCCTGCGAAGGAAGGGACGCCGTGCAGGGAGGATCTAACTTACAACCAAATGGAGACAGTGAATGAAATGAGAGCACTCAAAGCAGCTGCAGTGGTCAAAGCAGGAGATGGGGATCCTTCTTCGAAACTGGCGCCGCTCTTTCTTCCGAAAAAGACTCGAGTCCCAAAGGAGAAGTCTTTCTCCAAGTCGCAGGGGACACAGGAAAACCCTGCGAATGCGGGGCCGCTCGGCGCAGGGAAGGGGTCAAAGAGGAAGAGGGTTGAGAAGGGAGAAGCGGTGCTTGTTGGGCTGGAGAACAAGGAGCCCCCCCGGAACTACGGAGAGGTTGAAAGGGAGCTGCAGATTGGGAGCTTGAAACTGCCGAGTAATCAAACTGTGGACGCCAAACTAGGAGGGGTTGCTGAGCCGGATGGTCGGGGGGGGCTTCTACAATCTGAGACCGTTTTTGTAGGCGGGGTGAAGAGCAAGATGGAGACGGTGGTTGTTGGAAACATACAGGATATGGGAGGGTATGTGCAAGAGGAGAAGCCCTTGAACGCGGCAGGAGAGGAGGGGATTCTAGAAGATGCAGCGGCAGAGAAGTCGACAGGGAAGGAAGCCAGCAGGAGGGAAGGATCAGCAGGGGTGATCGAAGGAGTTCGGGCAGCTGAGCCCCTGACGCCAGCGAAACGGAAGCGTGGGAGGTCCAGAAAAGCCACCCTGAGCGAGGCCCCGAATAGGGGAAAGGGCGCCTCTGAAAGGCTGGGAAGGGGCAAATGTGATGCTGCAGCTCTAAGCAAGGATGCGAAATCGCAAGGGCAAGCCGACGAGGAACAGGCAGAGCCAGTTTCTTTTCAGCGACAAGTGGAAGCTGACCCCGACAGCGAAATGCGCCCTCCTATGACCGAGACACAATTGCCTTCTCAAAGTGCCTCCTTTGAGAAGCAGGAGAATCAAGGCGGACTTGCTGGCGGCATGCAACAGGTTGAGAAGCAGCTTTCTTCTGCACTGCTGCAAGGCGCCGGCCCGAGCGCCAAGGCTGCAGTAGATGCCGGTACTCAGCAGACTGTGATGAAAGGTAGGCTCTGCTCTCGAGCTGGCAAAAACTCTTGCAACACACTTCAAGGGTTCAAGGTCACTTATCATTTTTGCTGGCCGGGAGCTTATGATTGAATTGACGTCCGTACGGCGTGCTAAAATTGCGCCCAGGTCTCTTTAGCTATCCAAACAATTATCTGCAATTTCTGTGTCCATCAGAATATTCTTCAAATCCAGGAAAGCTCCCATTCACTAGAATACAGACCTTGCATCCAATCAAAGAAAGGAACATAACTCTCGCATCCGACGTTTTCGTTCCACCAGTGGCGTTCTTACGCTGGAAGCTTCACCATCTTTTGCTTTGCCTGTCGATGTCAGTTGCAGAGGCTGATGCAGCAGTGGATTGATTGACGCCCTCATCTCTTGTAGAGATATCGAAAGTCTCTCATGCTTGGCATATTCAAGACCTTCCACTTCCAATCACTCTCCTGCGGCACTTTTCGGGCCGTCCTGAACCCGCAAAATGTTTGCAAATCAAATTGCTCGTCTCTAGCACCGGTCTTGTCACTCTGTAGAATAGTCTCTGGAAGTTTACAAGAATGCACTTGTATTTGTGCAGTGCCGGACATCTTCCTAACAGCCAACGAGCGCAAGCGGCGCCTTCAGGAGGCCAAGAAGGAGGAGAAGAGGTTCCAAGAGGAGGCCGCCGCCGCCGCCGAACAAGCAAAGCTTGAGAAAGAGGCCCTTCTTGTAAAGGCCAAAGAAGACAAGAAGCGGGAGACTGAGGAGAAGCGGCAGCGGGCCCGGGAGGAGAAAGCAAAGCAGGCTGACGAGAAGAAGCGCTTAGCTAGGGAAGAACGGGCCAAGGGGGCAGAAGAGAGGAAGCTGAAGGCTAGCAAGGAGAAGAGACGGGGTGCCTCAAGTGCGGAGGGTGTAAGCGAGATGGAGAATGGGCATGATGCAAGCGCTGAAGCTGCAGAAGGGGGCACGCCAGCTAAGAAGAAGAGGGGACGAGTTCGGAAGGCAAAGATGGAGACGGGACATGGGACGGAAGTTGTGGTGGTGCTGAGTGGGAGTGAGAGGGAAGAGACGCAGAAGCCGCCAAGCCTGCTAGACACCATGCGCAAAAGGCAAGAGGATCTGAGGGCGTCGATCAGGGAGAGCCAAGAGGTAGGGGTTCTTGCTTTTCCCTGTGTTCCCTGTGGCGATCATCTGCTGCTGAATGGTTACGAGGTTCTATCCTTCTCTTAAGGCTAAGCTTTGGATACTTCGTAGGTGCTCCGTTTGACTCCAAATTCAAGAATGTTGTTTGCTATGAGAACTCCGGATGTCTCATGCATGTGGTTTTCCTTACGCGATCAGTGTGGCGCAGGAGAGCGACTCGAAATCAGAAACTGAAGTCTACTCCTGATAGATCAGTTTGTTCCTTGCTATGCTCGTCCCTCCTTCTACGACAGCTTTCCCTCATCTTTAAATCCTCGTTACAGCGGTTTCGAAGCTCGCGACAATTGAAATTACAGAAGCAAGCCGGATTTTGGAACAGTCTTCGCTCAGACGGGATATGGCAGTGACTCGTTCATACTGGTAACTCTTTTGTGCCTTAACAGCTGTGTGCCCCTAACAGTTCGGGGACCCCGAGACACCAAACTAAACAGCCTAACCCAAAACGTATGCGCTCCGCACCCCAACCCACCCTAACCACCAGGCCAACCCCACCCGTCCCCTGGGCGTCTTCCTTAAGGCACTCTGCGGTTAGGGCACACTAGAGATACGAGAGTTACTCGTTCTACTTCTTCTGGTAGGCCCACGCCAAGCTGAATGCCGGCAAGGCCACCCACCCCTTCTTCAAGCGGAAGCAGGGACCGCCGGCGGATGACGTCACACCTGCGTCAACAGAGGCAGCGCCAGCTAAGGAGTCAAAGCCCTCCCTTGCACCACTGGACCCATTTCACGTCACCCAACGTCACGAGGTGAGCTCTGTGAAAGGTCACCTTAAGAAGTGGCCGAGAGTGGGATGAGACTCGAAGGTGTTCAGAGCTGCCGTAAGTTACTTGTTTGCTTGCGAAAGTGAAGAGGGAACCTGCAACCTGTTTTGCAGCGCACCGGAGAGTGTAGTGAGCAGATGGATCCGACTGTTGCTCTGTCCGTCAGCCAACCCCTTTTCGTTCTTAACGACTTTTGCAAGCCAGCCTGGAATCAGGATTTTTGATGATTGCATGATACGTAAGGCATCTCGGTCCATCACTCCACACCCGGATCAGGGCCTCCGATAAAGACAGAATGCCATTGCACAGGTTAAGAAGGGCACCTGCAGCATTGCGAATACACAAATCACTAGCTGACGTCACTTGCTGACGTCAATCCTCGCAACCTCACTCTCTCTGCAGGAGGACGCGCCTCCTCTGCCGTGGCCCGAGCGCCAGTTGCAATCGCCCGCAGCGTCTCCGTCCAACGCTCGCTTAGAAACGCACGCTCCAGTTAGGCTTCTGGAACCAGCCCACCCCTCAACCAGCCGATCAAGGGTGCCAGGCTGTGAGACCCAGCTGAATCTTGCGCAGCGACAGGACAGGGCACTTGGGGCCCTTCTTGATTTCATACAGGTGTGTTTGCAGTCCAACCAATTATTCGCCACTTTGTGACGGAGTAATCTGGAGAACGGAAAACTTCCAAGGTTGTATGTAAAAGGGTCACCTTGACAGGAAGCTCCCTCAACACTTCGGACTTTCAAGTGCGATGGAAGTAGCTGTTTCCAACCACGCTCAGTCAGTTCTCAAGCGCACTCCATCCAAAAGGAACCACCAATGATTTTGAAGCGTTTTGAAGACTAATAAGCGGCCAGTTACGTTTCGCTTTGCCGTCCTCCTCGCTTTACAGCAGCAGCGTGTTTGTCCCATAAAATACTGGTTCTCCTTATTAAGTTATCGAGATGCCGATTGTGATGTCATTTTTCCAAGCAGGCGAAGAGTCATGGCGAGGACTCGGGGGATGCGTCCGAAGCCGTCCGGCAACTGACCACCGAGGAGGCGCTGAGACGGAGGTAGGACCGTTTATCTGCTTTATAGCCTACGTTTCAATCTGTAAATACCCCCTCACGTGTGTATTTGTTCCAGAAATCAATGTTAGGCGCTAAGATTTGAGCGTTTCGTTTATCCGTTTGTGTCCGCCAAGCGGAGATCATTGGTGCTTGCTGGCTTAAGAAGCCGTCTTTGGATGGAAGTCAAAATGTTTAGAGTGGCAAAAACAAAAAAATATATTTTTCGGATTTTGTGGATATACGTTTATGTTCGTCCCCACTTGCATCTCTTCATTGCGGAGTGCAAACAGTGAACATGATAGTGGTACGTTTGCCGAATCAAGCTTCTGAAACCTCTTGTCGACTGGCTCCCAAAGATTTCCGATCAGGTTGGGAACGCTGCGTGCTTGTTGATTGAAAGCTTGAGCAAACGCCGCTGAGAGTGAGGGCCAACTCGAGATTGACGGCCGCGGGGTCGCGCAATCTTACTGAAGCGTCTAGGTAAAGTAAGCTTCAGGTAAAGTAAGCCAAGCAGCTTGGGACGGGTGGGGTTAGGGTGGGGGTTAGGGTGGGTTCGGGTGCGGAGCGGGTGATTTTGAGGGTTAGGTTTTTAGTGTTAGGCTGGGAGCTTACTATACCAAGAGCTTACTTTACCTAAATTGAAGTGACATGCGCCAAAGCACGTCCCATTCCCGACATCGTGGCCACCACATTGATTGGCATACGAGACGATACAACTGATACACATTGTTCGATACGATCCAACAAGGGCTCAACGTCTTGCAGATTTGAGTGGTACAAGGCGCGAGCAGTTCAGGCGCAGCCAGACGAGGCAGAGCTCGGCCCTGAGAGCGTCAGCCCGGACGTCAGCGGAGCGCCCCTGACGGATGCGCTGTGGTGTTACAAGTACCGGCCTTTGTCAAGCCAAGAGGTGGGCCACTGTTCAACCGAAGTCTTGTTAAGAAAGATTAGCAACTTAGCTGCCCAAGTTATATTGCCAGGTGTCTCTTCCCCTGCTGTGATGGTTCTGATGATCTAGGCTTCTCCGACCATTTCACCTGACACCAAAGGTCCTAAAATCTGATCTTGGGACAAAAGGCTTGGCCAGTCCAGAAACGTTGGGACATGTCCCAACGTAGCTCGTGCATTCTGGCTTTCCACTTTATTGCGACACACCATAAGAACCAATTATCGTACTATTCTAAAAACCCATCTTGCAGGTCTGCGGGAACCCCGACGGTGTGACCTTCATCCGCGACTGGCTCGCCGAATGGACGGCCAGGATTGCGCGCGAGCAGAGGAAGAAGCTGCTGACGTCACCGCCGCCCCCGAAGCCCAAGGCGTCCGCCAAGAAGTGGCAGGCGTCGGAGGAGAGCAGCGACTGGCTCGTCAGCGGAGGGGCGAGCGACAGCGATCTGAGGGACGATGAGGATGGGCTCGCGAACGTGCTCCTCTTGAGCGGACCCACAGGGGTAATTTCCGGACACATGCTTACAGTTTCCGATTTTTGTTGCCTGTATTTTTCAAGTGTTGTCCGGTCTTCGATCCCGGGCTTCCGAGAAAAACGAGAGACGATGAGGATGGGTGAGTCTTTTCTACTGATTGCCAGCTTTTCCGTTCTCGTTGCGTCTTTCTGAACTGACATTGTGAGGTCTTCGATCTTCGGCTTCCAAGAAAGACAAGAGATGATGAGAATAGGCTCGCGAACGCGCTGCTCCTGAGCGCACCCACGAGGGTGACTTTTCCACACCATTCTGCCAGCTTCCTCGTTCTAGTTGCTTCTTTATGCTCTGGCGTTGTGAAGATTCGAGTTCGGGCTTCCCAGAGCAGATCCATGGGGTGACTTTTCAACACCGGTCAAGTTGCAAGTCTCTGATCTAGCTGTTGCGAGGACTTCGATTTACGGGTTTCTGTGTCGTGGAGCGGGCTCGCAAAATTTCTGCTCCTAGTTCCCGGGCCGTGAGCTTCTTCACATGAAGTTTGCATATGTACGTCAGAAAGAATATCAGACGCTTAAGAACGCCGTAACGGTAGTTTCGATGTGATTGCTGCTTTCGTTTGGCAAGCTGACGTGCGCCTCGTTCGGACCTTGTGAAGGGATGCTTTACCTTCTGCAAAAGTTCTCCGACTTGAGTAAGGTTATAGTTCGGTGGGCTGGCCACTCGGGCATAACAGATCCAGTCCGTGTCCGCCTTCGATGTTGCTCGGCTGTCAACGGTCGCGTTTCTCTTCACAGCATGAAGCGGGGTTGATTGGTACGGATTAATATGTTGGATATCATTGATACTCAAAAGAACGCCTGAGGAGGGGACCAAATCCGTCGGCAGCCTCGAAATGGATGAGCCGGCTTTGAAGATCTTTGAAGGCGCTGAATAATGATTGTCTCTCACACGCAGGTCGGAAAAACGGCAACTGTGTACGCACTGGCTGAGGAGCTCGAGTTCCACATTTTGGAGGTAAGCGGTCGCAATTGCTCCTCAATTACTAACGACGAGTTCTCTGCTGATGCGAAGTCGCTCGAACAGCCAGACGCCGAAATGTCTCCAGGTCGGATGATAAACCTATTCATTGCATCGTTCTTGTAAATCGATTGGAGCTGATGTGGCGTCCCCGAGTAATAGGGATCAACAAAAGGCTCGCAGTCGTGCTACATTGAAAGCTCTGCCGTTGTCTTCGCTTTCAGTTGAGATCGCAGCAATCCTGTCGGGAGGCTTCAAGAGTCGGATCTGGCCTGATGAGGACCCTGCCATTATGGAAGATTCAAAAATAAAGGTTTGAGAGGATTCTGAAGCTCTGCGCATAATGTATGTGACGTTTGCAGAGCAACCCGTCCGAGAAGCGCAGCCGAGCCACCATCCTGCAACGCTTCGGAGAGGCCACAGAGTCGAAGGGACTCATAAAAGGGTAAGCGTTTCTCAACCGAGTTTGGCAATGACTGACCCGGTGCCTTGAAACGGTTGGAAAGAGGTGCCAACGCGATCGCATCTGATCTGCTCACATGCAGCTCTTGTCGTTCTCAAGCTCGGCTTTCTTGCCGCGTAGGTGTGTGTCAGCACAATCGATATATTGCCTTCCCACGGTCTGAACTCCGTTCTGAACATTGTGGCTTTGATCCCGCCCCTCTTCCGCAATTTGCTTGAGAAGAGCTGCTGGGCAGACGACGTATGTTGTATTGTTTTCGGCCACAGGCCAAGAAGCTCGCTTGAAGGCGACCTTTGACCCTTTTTTCATTTGAACAAAAAGCTTTCTCCTCAGTTTGCAGCCAAGCCAGCATCCCTCTCTCGCCTTCCCCGAGAGTCATGCTCTTTGCTGACAGCCTGTCCATTTTGCGCGCAGGAACGTTGCACTTGCGGGGAAGACTGACCCCGCCAAAATTTCAAACGCGCTCCTCGAGACCTTGCGCAAGTCCGCCACCGCAACGGCCGTTGCTCGCCAGCCCAAGGCGGCGACTGCGAAGAGGAACACCAGAAAGCGGCCGAACGTCACTGGCGGTCCTTTTGCCGCTAGCAACGGAAGAGCAGGGTTAAGCGACTCGGAGGTCAGCGCATTTGTGGGTTCGGAAAGCAGCGGTAGTTTTGGTGCACGGGGGAAGGGTCGCAAGCGTCGAAGAAAAGGGAAGTTTGCCCAGAATGCGACCGGTGGAGAGAACCCGGTGGTCGATGCTGAGCCGCAATTTCAAACCGGGAGGGTTGAGGAGGCGGCGAATGGAACGGAAGCCGGGGTTGGGGAGTTGGGGGGAGCGAAGCGGCCGCGCAAACGGCGGAAGACGGTCGCTTTTGTGGGGCTTGGGAAGAGCGAGTCCGAGGGAATTGCAGAGGCCCCTGAGCAGACGTCCCAAGGGAGACACGTGGCAGCCCAGCGGGCGGCTGAAGGTGGACACGTGGTAGCAGATGGGACTCTGGAAGATGCTGACGTGGCGGGGGCACCCGCAGCAGAAGGCGCAAGTCCAAATGGGACGAGAGACGCGGGGCCTGACGGGGGCGGAAGCAATGTTCCGGCAACCGGCGTCGAGCGGGGGATCCCTGTGCCAATGAGTGGAGATGGGGGACTGGCGAAGGAACAACTAGAGGAGGCTTCAGCGGAGCCGAATGAGGAGCGAGATGTGCCGAAAGGAGAGAAAGCCGCAGCGGAGTCTGGAGCGTTTCCTCCGGCGTATCAGCGTAGGCAAAGAGGAGAGACGGGTAAGGAGAGTGCGCCAGGGGGCAAAGTTGCCGGGGCGTCGGTATTTGCAGATAGGCTGGCAGACGGGGCTATAGGCGATGAGGTTAAGAGAGGAGGCAGGCAGGTAGCAAATGTCACGACGGCCGCGGATGATAGACCCGGAATGGCAGAGGAATCGGAAATTGCTGGGCACACCGGCAACGATGCGATCGAAGCGGAGCCGATAGCCGCTGGTATCTCCGCTGGTGTCCCTACGGATTCCGACGGGCGGAAGCGGAAACCGGACGGCGTCCGAAGGAGAAGAAGCGGGAAGCTCTCGGAAGGGTCGCCCCCCGTGAAGAAGCGCCGCAGCTTCGGGAGCCCGGCGGTGCTGTCGAAGGTCCGCACAAGGCCCTGCTCGCCAGACGGAGAACAGGGCCCTCTGAGCGTCGTTCCGGGAGGCCCTGTTTTGGTCGAGATTGACACGGCCGAAAAAGGGCCCGTGCGAAAGAGGGTTGGGAAGAGGCGATCGAGCATGGACAAAGGAGCGAAGGGCACGGCTGCAATAAAAGGAGGAGGCCCTGTTCCGGCGGGGGTTAACGCAGATGTGGGGGGAAAGGGCCCGTCGAAAGGGGGATCCGGCAGCAGCAAGGCTTTGTTGCTGTTCGAGGAGGTGGAGCAGCAGTTTGAGGAGGACAAGGGGTTCCTGTCGGCGATTGCCACGCTGGCGGCGAGCACGAAGCGGCCGATGATCCTCACGTGCAATGGTACGATCTTCGAACCCCGGCTTCTTGAGTTTCCAAAACGCTTTGGGCGCTGCCAAAAAATTGTTTGCCCTGGAAAGTGTTCGTCAACAGCACTTTGAGCAGAAGGCCTTTGAAACACAGCCCAATTGCAACGAATCACTTTAGTGAAGTTTGGCTAAGCTTCCCCTGTATGCTGCAGACAGCTTCTGATCAGGTTGAGTCCAATGGTTGTTTGATTGTCGACTGCTGTACGTCTGTTGTCCTTGGCTGCTTTCCGTCTATTGTCCTGGGTATGCTGAAAGGTTTCCCGTCGGCCGGGCCGGTAATGAAGCACCCTTTTCAGCTACTTCATAGGCCCCGGCCTTGCTTTATCGTTGAAAGGGACAGCTTACGCAGCTTGGTTTCATATTCTGAGAATCTGAAGTTGACTTTGAGCTCACATTCGTGTTCTCTTTCCAGACTCGCTTGAGATCCCTCCCGGATGTGACTTCCGCAAGCTCTCCGTCGACTTCGCTGCGCCGCCGGTGTTGGATCTGACGGTGCACGGCTGCCTGGTAAGGGAAGCGCGCGCACTTTCCTGCTGTTCGCATGTGCGACACCTTTGCACACTCGAACGTTGAATGTGGAGCACCGCAAGGGCGGTAATGCTGCAGATCGCATCACCTCTGTCCGCAAAATGTTGCTGCGTATCGTGTGCTGCACCGAATCCGTTGAACAGCCGCGCTGCTCATGTGTGCTCGGATCATTACACCCGGCTAACGTATCCTGCTGAATCCGAGTGCCCGGGCGGAGACTCCGGGCCAACCTCTGCAGCTCAGCCAGAAGCCGAATCGATTTGTTAAGAGCACGCGAAACCACAAAATTGGAACATTCTTGCTGCAATCGCTGCAAGCTGCGGAACAAGAGCGGCTTATAGTTCTTGGCGACCCCGCAAGCGTCCTACCTACCCTCAACTATGGTGATGCTCCGCAAAGCCAGAGACTTTATCCGAGCCTTGGTCCTAGCTTGCAAATGTCTTTGGCAAACATCATTTTGTTCTCCTCCGCCAGGTCGCGGCCTCCGAAGGCTCTCCGGTCGACCCCTGGGTTATGGAGCGGTTAGTCCGCGTAACCAAAGGCGACATGCGCAAGGTGCTCCTCCAAGCGCAGCTGTGGTCCCGGGAGCCGACGCCGACGGACGTGCACGCGACAGCGGCGCTCCCAGATCCCCCCGTTGGTGGAACTGCCAAAAGAGATGCGTCGGCGGGCGTTCACAGAAGGACGGATGAACTCAAGAGCGTTGCGGAAGCTCCAAAACGGACGGTCGGGGTTGCAAGCATGGGGTTGGAGGCCCAAACGGCGGTCCAGAGAGTGGGCAGCTCGAGCGAAAACGGTCATCCTGAGCGGGACACGTGTCCACGACCTACGCATCCGCGTAGTCTGTGGCCGACGAGTACGGTCCGTGAGCTGCAACTAGACGCGGGGCACCGGTCCCTGCCCGCGCTCGCTGACGTGGCACTGCCCTGCCAGCTGGCGGCCGCCGTTGACGCCCACCAAACCCTCCAAACCCTGCGGGCGGCGCAAGTCGCGGAACGGGCGGCCGCCGTTCTGGCGGCGAGGGTTTACGGGGTTTTGGACGCTGAAGAGGCGTCTGCGGCGCGCATCCGGAAAGAGATTCAGGAGGCGAAAGCGGCGGCAAAAGCCACGGAGAAGGCGGAGGTAGCGGAGAGGCGGCGGCTTGCGCGGGAGGCCAAGCGGGCTGCGCGAAGGTCAGCAGAAACGGAGAACGAGGTTGGGGAAATTTTCGGAGACGGGGCGTTGCTCGACGATCTGGAGGACGTTCCGATTGGGAGGCTGTCGTTTTGCGGTAACGAGGCTGGGGTTCTATTGGAAAATACACACGTGCCTGGGGCGCGGAAGGGGCGCAGGGGCCGCCGGCGGGCGATCGAGGAGGACGATGACGTCAGCGGAGGGCCCTGTGACGTCACGCCGGCGGACGGTCCAGCTCCGGAGCCTGAGGCGATTACCGGACGTACGGAGAGTTTAGCTCAAGCTTTGGAAGAGTCTCAGGTCGATCAAGCTTGCGGGGTCTGCGGCAGCACAGATGGGGAAGACGCGATGCTGCTGTGTGATGGGGGGGGGTGCCAGGGGGCCCTCCACATGTACTGCGCGGACCCCCCCTTGGCGGAGGTCCCGGAGGGGGACTGGTTCTGTGCCGATTGTTTGGAGGGAAGGGAGGACGAAGTTAGGCGGAGCGTTGCTGGAAGAGGGGCGCCAGAAGGGCCGCCAAAAGAGGGAATGGAAGTGAATTTTGCGGGAAGAGGTAGAGAAGGAGAGGCGCGGCTTGGGGGTGGTCCGAGAGGAGAGGAGGAACCAGACGGTGGGGACGAGCAGACGAGGGCAGAAGGAGGGCCGGTGAAAGAGCCGTCTGCAGGAGGGAAAGGGAAAGAAGAGCGATCTGCGGAAAGGGGAGACGTAGGGAAGCGGCTGGCGAGCAAGTGGAAGAAAGAGGAGCAGTTGCCGGGGGACCCAGTGGATGTGTCCATTATGAGCGCCGCAAAAGGAGACGAAACTCCCAGGGGAGAGCGAGAGCCAGGAGAAACAGGGGGGCCTGACGTACGGGTAGAGATGCCGGGACCCGAAGATGAGGCGCGAAGCGGGCGAGCAGGGACTGGGCCGACGGAGGGGCACCCGGGTATTGAGGAGGAATTGCGGGAGGGCCTCATTGAGCAGACAGCACCACAAAACAGGCAGGGGGGTAAATCCGACGGAGGGGCAGAAGGGGCAAGAGTCGGTGCATCTGGAGGGGGATCTTCGATCAAAGTCGAGTGTCCGGTCGAACGGTGCTCCCAGCCGAAGGGCGTTGCTGCCGTAATCGTGGGGGGCGTGCGGGTTGCTGCGGCGAGGGATGCTCTTCCGCCGGAACCGCAGGCGTCGAGAAACGCCGGCGGGCTGATTTGGCAAGCCGAATGTAACCAGCCTGTTGCGGATTGTGCTCCTTCCGATGCGCCGGTTGATGCAGCCGAAGCTAGCGTCGGAGTCGCGGGCGCGAGCGAAGCGCCGCCGGCAAAGTCCGAAATGCCCAGTGATCCTGACTATCCGTCTTTAGCTGAGCAGCGACTGGCGGAGATCGAGCCACTTCGACGAGACGAGATGCGCGTGCTGGTGTCAGCAGAGTCTCGAGAGGCGGTAACAACCGCCGCTGCCGTATGGGGCCTGGCAGACGACTTATCGGCCAGCGAGCTCATGTCCCAGTCCGGGGGGGGTGAAACTGCAGCGGACGCCCCCCCCTGCGACGAGCTGGATCTCGGGGTGCCTCGGCAGGCAGCGGCCTGCCTGGCTTACGCGAGCCTACGCTGGAAATTGGACACGTGTCACGGTGCAGTTGGTCCAAAAGGGGGCGCTTCTGACGTGGAGTTGAACAGCATCGTGACTGTACCCGGGGCGAAGAGCGAGGGAGAACTAGAGCCGGGGGGCCGGCAGCTGTTGGCCGCAGCAGGTGACGAGGCGGCGCTGTGCGGCTTCCTATCGGGAAGAGGGGGGGCCGGGGAGCGCGCGTGGCTGCGTTTGCGCACGGGAGCAACCGCGGAGCAGCAAAAGCTAGAAAGGTGAGTCAGGTTAGACATCGGCTGTCCGCTTTAGCGACCTGCTCTTCTTTTTGGCATGCTCAAGTTCAAAGGACACTCCTGTGTACAGAAAGGACGATAGGCGACCCTACTCCACGGCGTTTGGGTTTGATGTCCTTGCTGCGTCATACGTTGAGTGCTTAGAGTCATCCACTGGGTGCGTAGACGACGAATATAGAGTGTGAGTAAGAGAGGGGAGGACAGAAGGCTTGCTTTCAGAAGACTGATGTCGTCTGTTCTTGAGCAGTGAGGAGTCGGAATGAGTTCCGCTTCTGTCCTGTTGGTCTTGGTTCGTGATCTGGAGGCATTCGCAAGTCCTTGGAGGGTGATTTCTGTCCGCTCTTATCAATCGCTGTACTTTTGCGAACAGGAGAACCGTCGATGATAGTTTGCGGGAGTTTTCTCACCGCGAGGCAGCGGCGCGGCGCATTGCGGGCCTCAACTGTCAGATGGCACATGTTGAGTACTCAGGCTTTCTTGGAAAGATGCTCACTCTTGAGGCGGAGAGACAGCATAGCGAAGAGGGTCTGCGAAGGAGTGACAGGGCAGTCCGCCCGCACCTCTTAGACGTAGACCTCTCAGACGAGTTGGCGAGAGCTCTGATGCACAGAACATGCTACGGCGTACGTTTTGGAAGTCATGAGTGGGACGAGGTTTAAAGTCCTGTGATGCAAAAGATTCGAGCAACTTCCTGCGCTGTGATGACCATTCAACATGAATATCTGTCCCTCGGGGCTGACAGAAAACATTCCGCTTCAACTATACATGACGTTATGAATATTTGGAGTAGCATGCAACTCGATTGCATGTATGCATGGCTGATTGAGTCCGGCCATGCATTAAGCAGCATATGTACATGTCAGCGCAGATCATCCAAAGTATGTTATATTAGAATAAGATGATCGACACAAATTGACAAATCGGAGGAGCCGGACTCTCTGCAGGTCTCTCAGTTCAACAGAGTAAGCCGTTACTGTATCGCATAGATGATTAGATCTAATACCTACACAGTACGTATAAGATTGAGCTATAGGCGGCCAAGGCCGCACTAGCTTTGCCGCTCAGGACTTGCGGCAGCTTTTATTGGTCAATTTGTGAAAGATTTGTGCTAGCTCATATATTGCATATATGCATGTGACATGCGCGCGATGGCGCCTTTGCATACGATCTGCATGTTCAATCCTGGAGCTCAAGATGGCGCGATTGCTTTCCATGCGATGTTCATGTGTGCATGAGATCTAGGTCACTTGATCTTCGAAGAGCCGGCCAGGGTACCCGGCGCTCATGATCCCATGCTCTCATGATAGGCACGCGGGCAGTTTAATGTTTTAAAAATTGTCACACTAAAGGTACTAAGGCGCGGGAGAGTCAACCATGTCGCCGGGCAATCTGCTCAACCACATGCATGTGTTTGAATGTCGTTGACAGAAGGTAGGAACAATCATTAAAAGGACTGAACTCACAGCCTTGCAACCTACAAGGGTCAGCATTCAGTTTTTTTTGTCACGGCGCAACGTACAATCTTCTCCTAAATTCGCTGCTCAGATTTAGAATGTCGAAGTTGCTCTTCACTTGCTGCAAACTCTTGCTCTCTAGAAGAGGCTCCAAAAGAGGAGCTATCTTTGATTTCTCTACATGATCCGAGTAAGGGGAGAAATTTTCAAAGGTCAAGTCGCACTTGAGTGCTATGCTCTGCAAGTTAGGGTGTCTACGCAGGTCACCAAACTTCTTTGGAACTCTATCGAATGGATCACAAAGGACGATGCTCCTCAACTGTGGAAGGACCAATATATGTTCGATGCACTTATTGGTAGTAAACGTCCCCACCTCGAGATGGCGAAGGCTTTGCAGACTGACCAGGAAAGGCAGAGCGGAGTATTTGCTCAACGACCTTGTGATGCACTGGTATCTGAGACTGGTCAAGTCGGAACAAGTCTGCAGCCAGCACCCCAGGTTTTGCTGCTCAATGCAATCATCATGGAACTCCAAGCTCAGATTTCTCAATGCTGGCCAGTCTTCTTGACTGTGCACGACGACCCCTACGCCCCACAGTCGCAGCTTCAAAGCCTGTAACCGCATTCGCGCAGGCGACAACTTCGACACTACTTCTAGGATGGTTGGCCCACTTGTATCCGATGCGAAAGTGAACGAAACCAGGCTCCTTGCATTCGTGACTACAAACCCCAAGGTGTCCCTCCATAAGGAGTTTCTCCAATAGCCCCCTGGATGAATTACAAGCTCCAGTTGCGACAGACGTTTGTTTGTGAGCACCAACTCTCTAAGCCTCTCCAAGTTCACTTCTTTCTCAGCTAAGTATCCAAGGGACACATCCGTCAGATTCGTCACACTACTCAGTTTCTCAGAATCCTTGGACTCCTCTAAACGCCAGCCCGACCAATGAAGATGTAGCTTCTTCTGTCGGCTAGAAATCAAATGGTCCACCATCACGCCAAGTTGCAAAGACATAGGTCCTTCCAAGCACAGCGAGCTCAATTGAGATTGGCAAAAAGCCCGCAAAGCCGTTTTGCCAACTACGTCTAGATTAACTGCCTTTAAGTCCAGCGCCGTGTGTGAAGGAACATCCCCACCAATTTTCAATTCCGTCAGAAGCGGGTAATCAGTGCTCAGGTGCTTTATACCCTCGTTCGTCAGTATGGCATTGCCATTATAGTAGACATCCAGCAGGTTGTTGATCAGGTCCAGAGAAGTGAGGTTCGGCATCGCCTTCCCAATGACTGAAAGCACCTTGTCTGTTGCAAAGAAGCAGCTTCGGAGCGCAGTGAGAGACGGGTACTGCCTGGGTGACTGTCCTAGACTCACAATGAAACCCTCAAAAGGCTCCCTTATACTCCTTATGCCTTTTGCCCAAGGTTTGGGAATAAATGAGAGCTCCACCAGGCAACTCAGCTTGCCTAGTACATGCACCCAATCAAGGTCTATCCAGAAAGGATCCTCGGTACCTCTTGGACACTCCTGGATCTCAAGCTTTTCCATGCAGGGCCAAGCTTGGACAGCACACCTCGTCATGAAGGATTCTTGGCGCACCCTGAGCGACTTCACGTTGGGCAGACCCTCTCTAAGAACCCTTGCGACAGTCTCCCTATGCTTATTCGAAAACCCGAAGTCAGCACGCTCATGGGCTCTCAGGTCCAAGGCGGACAGGTCAAGCTCAGTTACATTCCGGAACCCTGCAAACCCTAACTTTGGCAGGAACTTTGGGGGGGACTGCCGCACTCGTAGTGTCACCCTTGTAGCACGCTCCACGTCCCGGAATCCCTTGCATGTTAGCGCCACGTTATTCCTGTCCAGAAGACTGCTAGTGGAGGCTATGATGCTGTGCAGGAGCACCTCTGGCAACGATGAAATGCTAACCTGTGAGAGATGCTGGGGGATGACTGGCGCGAGCGGGAGCTGCTGGCAAGGTGGCACAGCGCCCTCCATAGCCACCTCTTGCCTCTGATTCGCGGCCCTGTCCGGCCCTTCTGCCTTCCGAAGCTGGCGCAAGCTGCTTCAAGTTCAAGTTCAAGTTCTGAACACAAAACCTTGGAACGGAAGTGAATCGAACAAAGTCAGCATGCACATGTTTGATTCAGCCGCGCTTTCTGTAACCCGCCGCATGTGCGCGAGCGCCGAGCAGCATCTTAAAACGATAGGGTTAACTGGCTTTTGGGTGGTTTACGGTTGCAGTACGCGCTATATATAACCGCGTTAGCGGTTACCCCTGCGTTGGTTAAAACATGCAGACAGGGGATCCGGGGCTCTCCGCTTTGTCAGCTGTCACAATGGTTACGGTATAGGGCCGCCCCCAGAGTTAAAATCGAACAGATGAAAGCGATTGGATGGCCGGAGGTCATCATTGTTGCGGAAGCCTTTAAGCCTAGGCAGCTATACTATAGTGCACATTTGATGACGATTATAGCACACGGATCATGGAATTGGGAAATTTTGGGTTTTTCCTTAGTCGTGACAGCATATTATTTTAGATTGCAACAACCGTCCGTCATGCCTTGAGTTCCTCAGATAAAACTCGAGCACTCTGGGCCGTGCTAAAGACAGCTTTTGAGAGAGACAACAATTTAAACAAGGTTGCAATCAGCTTGAAGCCGCCAACATTTTTGTGACCGTCATGTTGGTCACTAAATGAAAGGGAAAACCACCGAGGGGAGCTTTTCGTCCCCTGAGAAGTGCAGTACTGACTACTGCAGAATATTACGAGCTTGCTTGACGGTTCCCAAGATTGCGTTTTGGCGGTTGCAACTGATTTTCAAGGCTCGGATTTGAAGGCCTCATCCGCCGAGATCCGTTGCAATTGCTGAATGTACATCACGCATGGAGCTCGAAGCAAACGCTGCTTTCAGCCTCCTTGCACTAGAGCGTTTCAAGGATGTTTTCAAAACCGGCTTCCAATCATTCTTCAAGCATGGCCTATCCACCTCGGTTGCATGTTCCGATAGTTCGATCCTAACCTATGAGCTGCGAGCGCCTGCCCTTCATGACGTTTTCTACACAAGCAAGAGAGAACGTCAGATCATCCATCCTTCTGGACCGCCCAATGAGCGGTTGCATATCGCAATAATATTGATACGTAGCAGGCTCGCTTCTGGTTTCACACCCGTTTGGAAACAAGACGTTTTCAAAAGCTGACAAATACTTCATTCTCGAAGGACATGCGGTTCGGGCAGACCCGAATGGACTGATTCAAAGCAGCAAACCAAAGAGGGTTCGAAAGGGTCCGATGCGGGGACTGCTTTGACCATCGACAAACCTTGGCCCTTTATTCCCGTGATCGGCTCTCTATATCGGGCAGAGCCCAACAACCGAGCCAAAATGCAACTCATGAGCGCAGGTTATGACAACAAGGGGTTGTTCAAAAGAGGTGCGAGTCACTCGTCTTTTCTAGCCTTGAAAGGCAATTGCCTATGGGTTCGATCTAGAAATCCTATCAGCTCTGACTCTCCGTCCTTTTCGAGTTGCTGAGTGCGCAGACATCTTCTGTTACCAAGCCAACAGTGAGCAGGACAAAAGCAGAGCAGCGGCTCCCCACGTTCTGGTCGAGACTTGATGTAAAAGCAAAGCGTTGCGCACTCGACATCAGAGCTTTCCTGAGATGCTTTCATCCTTATTCACAGCCATATCTGCCATAAACGTTCTGCTGAACCAAAAGATCCACTCCGTCATCACCGACAAACTGAAAACTTCCATGTTCGGTTTTTTTTGGTTTCTTGACCCACCTGGGTAGGCAGGAAAAGCTTGGACTCTAGCGGTAGTTCGTCCTTGGAATCAGCAAAGTTCCAGAAAGCGGTGAACACCAAGCACGGCTGCTTAACTATGAATGTAAACCCTGGCAGAATCCAAACCATGTCCAAACTCGAGGTCCTTAACCTACCTGGATGGGCAGGAAGAGTTTGAACTCCGGCGGCAGCTCCTCCTCGGAGTAGAGCCGGTCGGAGAAGTAGATGCGACGGATGCGGCAGTTGGCGTGGATCTGCACGCGCAGCGTCTCGATGTAGTTGGTGCCGTACGCGCGCCGCGTGAAGTCGCTCAGGTTGAACTGGATCTGGTTCCAGCCCTCGTCCAGCCGCATGGGCATCGTGCAGATGAACGGCTTCACCCGCGTGGTCGACTGTGGGAGGAAAAGCAGTGCGAGTCGATAGAAGTTAGCATTTGACAGTACTTTCGATGCTCTGCGGAAGCCCGGCATGCAAAACATATTTGATATCCTACTCGCATGGATATCCTGCGGATGTAAGGGCTTCACGTGCGTCTTCGACTGCAGTGAGGAACACCACAGAAGGCTGTGCGTTCTTTTACACAGTCCGAAGTCGGGGCCGTTTCCAGCTGCTTCAAAGTGAGCTAGATGTGGTCCGGGCGAAGAGGCACGATGCAGAGGGAACGCTTTGCACGCAGCTGACTGTCAGAAGCGTTAAAAGATCGAAGCTAGGGATTTTGGGGGCCAGGTTTGCAGTTGGAAGCTCAGGACGCCGACGTGAGACAGAGAGTATAGTGTGGGAAGCAAGGACTTTAAGACTTTCTGACCATCTAACAAGATTAAAGCGGTGCCGTGTAACGGACTAGCTTTGAAAATGCAAGTTCAGGAGTTTAAATTGCTCGGTCTTTGAGGCATATTTGTGACACGTACCCCACGTTTTCTGGTGTCCCACGGCCTAGCTTTCGTTTTTCAAGATTAGAACATCTCAAAGCGTCGCTGGCTTTGCTTTCAATGTAAAAATGGAAATCAAAGATTGATCAGTGAGTGACCTATTCGGCGGATGAGACGGTCCAGGCAGCCAGTATCGCAACTCAAATCAACCGCAGCTTCTGATCAATCAAAAATGAGAACAGATTGATCCGCCCTTGAAGACCCCAAGAGCCCGAAACCGATCCTCGTCTTTGTCCAAACGGGTATCTAGATTCCAAGCGCACTCGATGTTCCAACCGACTCAGCTTCTGCGGAGAACAGGACAACCAAAGCATAGATGCACAACGCCGACGAAACCGCACCTGATAGTTGGACGCCCGGAACCGGCGGCGCACATTCTTGTCGTCGAGCACCTGGACCTCGAACGTGAAGTACTTCTTGAGGTTCTTGATAATCATGACCAGGAACGGGAGCTTGATCCCCAGCGTGGCCTGCGGGTCCGCAGGGCATGTGATGAAGTTGGTGCTGACGTTGGTGCCCATGATCTCCAGGACGCTGCTCTGGATGTCGCCATCTGTGATGCGTTTGATGTGCCCATTCTTGACTGCGTGGATAGGAGCGAAGTTGAATTTTTAGCGAGCGATGCCATGATTGTCATGAAGTTGGTGCTGACGTTAGTGTAAATGATCTCCAGGACGCTGCTCTCGATGTCGCCGTCCGTGTTGCGCTAAATGTGCCCATTCTTGACAGCAGAGGGAGAATGAAGAATGTGCCTAAGCAAGCAGTGTGCTTAATGTGCCCATTCTTGATTACAAAATAAAGTGAAAAATGAAATGCGTTAATGAGTGCCATGCTTTATTGCTGTGGGAAAGAGCACTTGAGATGTTGGCAAGTGACGCGCTTGATGCGCCCATTTCTTAACTGCGTGGACAGGAGAAAGTTCAAAGATTGGCGAGCTGCACGCCTGATGTGATCAGTCTCTTCTGCAGAGGGGCAAGAAAAGTTGAGCTTGAACGCGCTGCATTTGATGTACGCACTTCCGGTAGAAGACGGTCTACTCAGCTAGGGGTGCTAGAGGAGAGTGGACAATGATTGCCCAGACTGCGTCCCTTCCTCAGCTCATTAACTGACTAGAGGTTCTAGTTTTGATCTTTCAAGTGCATGTATGGTGTCTTAATCGTCAATTGACTTTCTTTCTGGAACTATCGAAGGCGGTGCTTAGGGTGACCGACTCCGTCCGCACTGTAGATATGACCGACTGGGAGCATTGTAAAGGGCCCTTTCAATTCTGTTCAACCCTTTGATTCCACCGGTTCTTGAGAGACTTGCAGGTTGGAAAAGTAACATTGTGTACTCTTTCACAACCGATTCTCAAGAAAATAAACAGCTCTTCTGCCCTGTTAATGTGCAGACTTCACTGTCAGCTCAAAGACTTGCACCCATTGCCCGTCTAGAATGCGCGCACTCTAAGAAGGGGAACCTAGCAAGAGCTTGCGTTCTGTTGGGTCTCGTGGTTTGATTGTGATGCTGGTGCAATTTGTGCACGCTGAGGAGTATCGGAACCGCTTAACAACTCAACAGGTCGAATCTGCATTTTCCATCCAATCGCCCCTTCCCAGCCCTTCACCTTCATAACACCCTTTCCATTCATCTTTGTTCTTGATGACGACAGCTCAAGAAAGCAAGACTGTTGTATGTTGTCAGAAACATGGTATTTGTTGCCAAAAAACAATCGAACAGATCGGCTTGAATCACTGGTCAACACCTCACCTTGTTTGTCCCAAATTTGGAGGGGCTTGCTCCTGCGACAGAGGAACAGAGCATCAGTCGCTGCCCAGACCCTCTGCAAACCCCAACCTGAAGCCAAGCAAAACTGTGATCCTGCAAGCTGAGTCCTGCCCCAAAAGAAATTAGCGGACTATTTTACAAACCCTGGTTAGGTAGAGTCAGCCCCACAAAGCAAGGGGCCCTTTTTTTGCCCCCTTGGCCCTTCCACTTGTACTATTCTGCACAAGTTGCATTCAGATGGTGGAAGTTCCACAGGTGAGAAGGCTCGAATAAAGTACGGCGTGCTTACCCTATGCTGTACAGTATGGAGAGGAACCCGGACTGGAACGTGTTCTTAAACATTTTCGCGGCTTTCCAGTCACGCCGCTTGCTATTCCCTTGCCACTATCCTATTGCCTCAACTGATCCGGGATGCTTCTCGTGAATATCTGGTTGTATTGTGGTCGGGCAGTCTGCAACAGAGGTTAAAAGTAGAGATAAATGTCCTTGGATTATCGGCAGATAAATGTTTGCTCCAGGCAGCAGATGCTCAACCCTAGAGTTTGATCAGGAGACTTACTCCTCTATTGGCTTTCTCTGCACTTCTGAATTACATTCCCCTATTCCCACAGATCCTCAGATGTACAGAGGGAAACGCTTTGTGCTCCCGTCAAATAGATGTAGGTCTTCTGGCCTTGTACTCACCAGGTCCTTGATAAGGAGCAGGACTATCACCAGGAAGACCACAAAGAGAATCTCAAACTCTGCCAGGCGCACAAGATCAAACACGCCCTCCACCGCACGTGTCAAGAGATTGGGGCGCCTTGGAGCATTGCTTTGCCGTCTCATGTTCTCCTTAATAGTCTGAAGTACCGACAGCAAGAGGAGGAAGCTGGACGCGCCTTTTCGCTTCCAGGGGATAATGTGAGCCCTGCAGAGTGCAAATCCAAGCATCAGCTCAGACGGACTGGGAGAGTCAGAGTCAGATAGGTACGGTAGGTGCCAAGCCTGGCAAAGAAAGCATCACCAGTGTCAATCAAGCCGCAGTGTAGCGCTCCGGTAGATATTGACACTGGCTTCTGACGTCGTCGTGGGCGCTTTCATAAAGGTCGGTTTCAATTCTCAACCACCTCTGAGTCTGGACTCTGAGCACAGGTTTTCGAACTTGAAGGTTGTTTCTAT